AGTGTGAAATATCCACAGTCAGTCATGATTTGAGGTGCAATGTCCGGTGCAGGTGTTGGTAAACTCTGCTTTCTTAAATCGAAGGTCACTGCAACGGTCTATCAGAATGTTTTAGAGGACTTCATGATTTCTTCTGCTGAGGATCTGTATGGAGATGCAGATTTCATCTTCCAGCAGGACCTGGCCCCTGCCCATACTGTCAGAAGCACCAAAACCTGGTTTGATGCCCATGCCACAGTACTTGACTGTCCACCCAACTCGCCGGACCTAATAAACCCCGTTGAGAATCTATGGGGTATTCTCAGGAGGAAAAATGAGGGGCACCAGACCCAACAACAAAGAAGAGATGACAGCAAGTATCAAGGAAATCTGGGCTTCCAGAACTCCCAGTCAATGCCACAGGCTGATTGCCTCAATGCCACGTCGCATCGAGGCAGTGATTAAGACAAAGGGATTCCCAACGAAGTATTGAAGATTGACATATCGTTTTGAAAAGTACCATATTTTGATTGATTTGTTGTGATCCTAATTTCTTTCCTTTTTTCTGCAGTAACTGAGTAGTGTGGGCTGATTTCTTCACAGTACCCAATTTTTTTTAAATCCTGTTTCCGTGGGTTTCATGAGCTGGAAGCCCAAATTATGTAAAAATAAACAAAAATAAATACTTGAAATGGTTTAAATTGTGGGCCCTGAATCTATCATCTATTAAAGATGAACTTTTTGAATGGAATTATGGAAATTAAACAACTTTTCCATGATATTCTATTTTTTTTGGAAAGGGTTTGTACATATACCAGTACATCCATCCATTATCTTTTACCCGCTTCTTCCTTTTCAGGTCACGGGGCGTCACTGGTGCCCATGTCCAGCATTCACTGTGTGAGAGGTGGGGGCACCCTGGACAGGTCTAAAGTCCATCACAGGGAAACAAACAATCACTCACTCTCTCACTCACACCTAGGGACAATTTAGAGTCATCAGTCTGTCTAACATGCATGTTGTTGGTCTGTGGGAGGAAACTGGAGTACCCGGAGAAAACCCACGCATGCACGGAGAGAACATGCAAACTCCACCCAGAAAGGCCCCCGGACTGGGATTTGAACCCGGGCAACCTGCTGGAAATGAGGTCAATTATTGTCAATACTACTATAAAAACATTATTAAGTTTAAAACATTATATGGTTATTAGAGCAACATTTTATTGGGTTTCCATCACCTAAACTGTGGCTCTAAGCACAAGCCTCTTGCTGGTAATATTTGAGTTCTTGAAAACATTTTTTCTTTCTGGCTAATATTTAATATTGTAGATAAGATTCCTCCTAGCTGACCTATTTTCCCCAATCTTATCATGTTTGCTTGTAAAACTCGGGGATTTAAATAGTTCCAAGACTTCTCAGTGATAACCTTTATTAAAAAAGGTTAAACATTTAAAATAAAAATTGCACATTTGAACCTTGTTGAGCCAGTTACTCACTCACTTTGACCTGATTTGACGTTTTTACTAAACATGGGGAGCAATTTCAAAACATTTGATTTTGAAAAAACTTGTGGTGGAAATGTTAGGAGTAATTTATTGATAACTATCTATTTTCATTGAAAAATATAAAAATGACCACTGTGTGAAGCATTTTGGAAATAAAAGTAAATAACTGCTTATTGTGATATGTATTGTATACTAACCAGCACTTTTCACATTATCATTACCAATTATCCAATAATGTGATACTTGAAAGTGCACTAATAACTTTTGCAACAGAGATAGAGCGCTTTTGTTCATACTGAAATGGATCAAGCATCACCAACACCCAGTTATAGTGATCTAAGAGATTAAAAAATATTTATTGTTGTTAAAATATGTAAATTGTATGATAGAATATGTATTTGTAATGTATTTGTCAAATAAATCAGTGAACAGCTGAGCACCAGATCACATTTTGCCTCTTACGTTTGCTTTAATAAATTTCAGCTGCAGGTATTTAATCACGGTTTTCTCGCAGAGTCAAATGTTAGCTGAGTGGAATTTGCATGTTTTCCCTGTGCATGTTTGTACTTTTCTACAAATGTTCAAAAACATGAAAAAAAAAAAATGAATCCACTCCTGGATCTGAAGAATTTTGAATGGATTAAGCTCCAAAGCAAAAAAAAAAAAAAAAACACCTTTAAATCAAAGTCTACTTCCCTTGTTTGTTTGTATGCTTTATTTGCCTTTTTTACGTTGCCATACTGCATGTGTCAGAATCTACTCCAACATGCAGAATTACTTTAGTTTTCAGCTTTCTACTCATTCACTCATCATTTCTTAAATAATCACTTTTGCAAACTTGCCAGTTTTTCAATTATGCTTCATCTTAAACCACTTAACAGAGAAACAAAAATAAAAGCATTTATATAAAATTGCTGCCACACTAAATTTAGTTTAAAACGTCTCACTTCATAAATCAGTTCTAATGATTTATACCGTAGACTGATTTATGCTCAAAGTGGTCATCCTGCTGCATTTTGAACACTGTTTGAAACTAACATCTAACTGTGTCCGAGGTCAAGAACATGAAGGTTTTTTAGTTGAACTGTGGCAGCACGGTGGCACAACTGGTAGAGTTGCTGCCTCTCAGCGAGCAGGTCCCTGGTTCAAATCCCGGTCCGGAGGCCTTTCTGGGTGGAGTTTGCATGTTCTCTCCGTGCATGCGTGGGTTTTCTCCGGGTACTCTGGTTTCCTCCCACAGACCAAAAACATGCATGTTAGGCTGATTGGTAACTCTAAATTGTCCCTAGGTGTGAGTGAGAGAGTGAATGGTTGTTTGTCTCGTTTGTCTCTATGTGGCCCTGTGATGGACTTGCGACCTGTCCAGGGTGTACCCTGCCCCTCGCACAGTGATTGCTGGACATGGGCACCGGCAACCCCCGTGATCCAAAATGGAATAAACGGGTAAAGAAAATGGATAGTTGAACTGTGTGATAAAGCATGAATCCATCCGATTTATTTTTTATTCCATACATTTCATTCCTCTTTCTTTAGCATGAGTAATATTTGTTTTAGTTTCATCCACTGAAACATTAACTGGGACTCCTGTGATAACTTCCTTAATGAGGCTATCACTAGTCAGAGTATTGCACTCGTTTACCATTCTTTATTTCCATTCTGATTGTTCTTCATCCTTACTCATAACCAGCAGTGTCCCATTCCTTACACATTTAGTATTATTTACTTTAATTTCTTCACTTATTGCTCTAGTCAGCTGTACAGGGTTTGGGTCACCAAACAAAGCCCCATCTTGCGTAACTTAATGATTCCTTTGTGGTAATTTTTTGGTCTGTGTTACATCTTCTCCAACACTATGATCACTACTGTCTAATTTATTTATTTATTCTTCTTACACATCCTTGCCCAAACAATATCCCATCCTCCATATCTCCACCACCTCTTTCCATAACCCCTAGTTGGTTTCCTGATCCATCACATCCTTCTGTGTCCAACAACAACCATGAGGTTATGTAGGCCGGGGCTGATGAACAGAAGTGGCTACAGCTGTGACTGGGAAACAATGAAGATACGTAGGTGTCACAGGTTGACTACAGGAGCAGAAACTAACTGTGGAAAAGTACTGGGAGTGATGAACTGGTGGCAGCAGGAAAATCCAGGGGGACAGACACCGAATAAAATAAAACAAGGAATAAAGGAACCAACAATAAACACAAACTACACAGACCCAAAAACACAGATACTTGCAGTTAGTTATTATTAAAGATGAACCATTGAATTTAAAAACGCAAAAGATTCTCGGTTACTTTAAGTCACAATTAAGTCTGACTGTTTCCAATCTGTGACAGCAATTTTAGATGAACTAAACTGCATATAATTATTTGGTGACGTACACACCCACATATCACACTTTTACCGGAGTACAGCCAATACCTGTGTAACCTTTTGAATTTTGTGATGTTTGAAGACATCAGTTTGTAATAATCCTAGGACTGGGGCATCCAAAATGCGGCTTGAGGTCCATTTGTGGCCCTTGGAGTGACGTTGTGCGGCCCTCGACTGCAATTAAAGAATGGTCCATAAACCTTCTGTGAATCTGTTTTAGTGACTGCCAGCTGTTTTTCACAACTTTGATTACCCATTTGGGCCGTCCAAGATCTAAATGGGGGATTGAAGTTCCACCCTCTTTGTTAAGGAACAATTACTCGTTTTAGGCTGTTGTCTCTGAAAATAAATAAAAATGAACTTTCAACGCACAAAAAAACAAATAATAGTCCCCCCAAAATTTTTTTTATAAATTATTAAAAAAAAAACTAGGTTAATGTTTATGAGGCTCATAATGTTCTGGATCTACAAGAATTTAAACAAAACTTTTAACTTTACTCCAAAATATTATTCAAATTGTTAAAAATGAGAAGAAAAAAAATCACGCTTACTTTTTTTTCTTTAATTTAGATTTTTCTGGCCCGCGAGACCTCTCATCTAGACTCTAGATGAAAGGTCTCTGTCTAGATTCCAGACAGTTCTGGCCCATCTATGATGAAAATGTTTGGACACCCCTGTCCTAGGATAATTTGAAATGTGAAGTTTAGATGGTTGTTTAGTTCTGATGACACATTTTCTTTTCCCCACTTCTGGCTTAAAGACAGTGTTTAAACAACGAAGACATTAATCACAAAATGTTAAATATATTTACATTTAAATGTATTTTTCACACCAATCCAACAAAAACAGTACATTTATAATACACTGTATTGAAGTCACGCACTATAAAAAGATTGCTGTTCTGTTTTTACAATTTTTCTTATCTATTTTGAAAAAAACAAATACATTTTTCTTAGTCTGGATAACTCATTCGTCATGTTTCTTTTATGTGCTCTGAGTCACCTGACAAAGGAAAATGTTCAAGCCATTAGGGTCTATAAAATGTCAGTGGGGCCTCAAAAACAAACAAACAGGGCTTTAAATACGCCTGTCAAAGAAATAATTAACATTTTTAAAGACAAACGCAAAGAGCTGAGCCAGTCGAAGCTCCCAGACCATAAGGAGACCATATCTGATGTGGTTTTTCAAGGCAGGTTTAACTGTTTATATGTTTATGGAACAATATATATATTAGGATTTGGTTACCTGACTGGTAAATGCAATTATGTTAACACCATATTGGCTGTCTTAAAAATTGTTTTTTGTCCACTGGACCTTTTTCTAATATTGATATTTTAGGACCTGAGAAGATTTTTTGCAGCATGGAGCTCATAACGGATCTTCTGTATACGTTCAGCACTGAGGCCAGCAGGATGAACGTGACACTCAGCCTCTTCTTCATTTTCCTGGGCCTTCTTTACTGGTAAGTGGATTCAGTATTCAAGTTTGTGATGCTTTTACTGTGAAAATCAATAAGAACATAGTTTCTTCCCCTTTGTGTGTCATTACTACAGTTGCTTTCATTCACTTGAACGGTTTTTTACTTTATAATTATCTATTTACCTTTTTGTTTTCAGGTTTTCAGTCTATCCATTCTCGGTCCTCTCTCGATACGGAATCAAGCACCCAAAGACAGTGCCATTTTTCGGTAACATGTTGATGTTTCACAAAGTAAGATTCACTTCATCAAGGATAGCTGTCTAACTTCTTTTATTTCACGTGTCTTTTGGTGGTCTGCAAGTAAACTGATTCAGATGCAGATACAGTAAAGTGTCTTGTTCTGTAAACTTTCTGTCCTTTAATTTCACAACAAACTACAAAATGAATAAAACGTTTAGACTCTTATTGTTCATGACAGTGGGATGATTTTTAAAATTTGTTTTCCAGGGTTATTTTGAATCTACCTCCAATATAGTAAGGACACATGGCAAACTGTGTGGGTAAATAAAAATGCTCTTTCCTCAAATATATATTGAAAATAGAGTCCAGACTTGTTAGTTTAGTTCAAGTGTTATATTTCAGGTATTATTTTGGCCGGAAACCAGTTGTGCTGTTAGCAGAACCTGATTTGATCAAACAAGTGATGGTCAAGGAGTTTGGTAGCTTCCCTAACAGAATAGTAAGCATTTCTGAAATTTACAATATATTTTTATTAAAATTACAACATGAGTTCTGATGTACTTTCATATCTTTCTGAGTAGATGTTAAGTGATGCCAGCAAGCCCTTGAAAGACACTCTGCCTTTACTGAGGAACGAACGATGGAAGAGAGTTCGAAGCGTCGTGACTCCGACCTTCAGTGCTGCCAAGATGAAAGAAGTGAGATCACAAATATCTGATAAGTGAAGAAGTAGCTGCTGCATAATTTTTAACATAAGTGAACTCTTCATTTGCTTTCATTTAGGAATTCTTATTTTACAGTAAATAATTTTGAAGACCATACTGAAAATGAAAAGTAGATTACTTATCGTGATAAAAAGGTATATGTTTTTTTTAGATTTTGAGTTAAAAAAAATAGCACTTTAAGTATAATCTATACAAGTTGTTGTTTTTTTCTTTTGGCTGCTCCCTTCTTCAGGGGTCGCCACAGCGAACTAAGTCACACAAAGACTTGGCAGTTATTTTTACGCCGGATGCCCTTCCTGACTCAACCACAGACACCGAGCTACCACAGCCCTCTGTGTGGAGCAGAGAGCTGCTCTCTAGGACACCCAGAGGAGCAGATAGTGGGGGTTAAGGGCCTTGCTCAAGGGCCCAGAGTGGGACGAACGAGTGTGGGGTCAGGTGTGGGTGCTTCACCTACCCCACCCACATTTTTCATGTTGTCGGTACCGGGGCTTGAACTGGCGAGCTTCCGATCACAGGCCCACCTTCTCTAACCTCTGTGCAACCACTCCCCCTTGTATAGATTATAGATAGAAGTATAATCTATGCAAGTATCTTCTTATTGTTTTTATGATTTATTAATAAGCTCTGTATTTGGGGAGTGGTGGCACAGAGTCTAGAGAACTGAACCTGTGATGGGAAGGTTGCCGGTTCAAATCCCCCCTGCTGACTGTAACAGCAAAATGACGAATGAGCGATAGACGAAGCTTTTCCTTAGTTTACACATTTCCCAGGAGAAATTTGATATGTCGGCCTGTTTTCGAGGCCAACTGGGGACATCAGATTCAGATAAGCCACAATTGTTGATTGTTTTCAGGCATACTATTTATTTATTTATTTTTTTGTCAGCCTTGAGTCTTACTGGTACTTTCAAGTTCCGAAATGGCCAGATTAGGGTGCATTCTACTGGTCCATGCTTACAAGCAACTGAACAATGTTGAGAGTTATTGTGAATGCGTTGATTAAAGTTTGACTTATCTGAATGTTTTGTTTCGCTTAATGCGCCTTATGTATGAAAACAGACCTGTTCATTGATATTGCACTTTATAATCCGGTGTGCTTTATAGTCCAACAAATACAGTGTTTGATAGTTTGAATTACTAATTGGTCAACATTTGTTTCGAGTCTCGATGGGGATGGGTGGCACGGTGTCAGAGTGGTAAGAGCTGTCACCTCTCAGCAAGAAGGTTGTCCCATCCCAGCCCGGGACGCTTCTGGATGGAGTTTGCATGTTCTCCCTGTGCATGTGCAGTTTCCTCCCACAGACCAAAAACATGCATGTTGGGTTAAGTGGCACCTCTAAATTGCACCTTGGTGTGGGTGCCTCTCACACAGTGACTGCTGAAGATAACCACCAGCTACCCCAAGACAACGAAAGGAGAAGTGGTCAAAGAAAATAGATTGGATGGATGTGACAAAGTTAAGTCAGATCCTCTGGATGGATTAAAAAAAAATGGTTGAAACGTTTCGTCTTGGTTTTGGAGAGTTTTGGTTGGCACCAACAAACTAGTTGCTCCACTATGGGAAGGTGCTGTTTATAAGACTGAGCTTAGTGCAGCTCCTCAGACTGACCAAGTCTTTGGGATAAAATAAACTTTTTTTTTTTATCTGTCCAGAGGACATGACTTAACTTTGTTAGATGTTTCTTCCTGGAGTAATGAGCATGCATCAGGATTGAATGGATGGTTGTCACAAGGTTCTTTTCTGAGCAAACATCTTGTGAAACTGAAATGGTAATGGGCAAATGATACTGAGGCTTCGGAGCTTGTGCCACTCCTCCTGAAGCAGAGTGATTCATATCACCGTGTCAGAGCCTGTGTCAAAACACCATTGTCACTTGACAAGTGACGTTTGAAGCGTCGAACGTCATCGCTGCTTCAATTTGCTCTAACTTGGCTCAGAAAGTTTCAATGTGTTCTGAACCAATCAAAGTTTTACAGCTTTCATGTGTTGGTGCTACACAAGCTATTTAAGATGCAACATTATTCTTAAAAATATGCTGAGTTGTGAGGAGATAGAATTTTGGAACGTAAATTAAACGTAGTTGGCAATTTTCATTAAACTGTTTCAATGGTGGCGATTCTGGTCCACCATCCGGCGTCTCGGGGGGGAAAGCGGTACGCCACCAACACTGTTTATAGTGGGAGGGGTGTGCTGCTGACCTCAACTCGGGATGTTGTGGGTCGGTGGGCGGAATACTTTGAAGACCTCCTCAATCCCACTGGCACGTCTTCCACTGAGGAAGCAGAGCCTGGGGACTCTGGGTCGGGCCCTCCAATCCCTGGTGCTGAGGTCACCGAGTTGGTTAAAAAGCTCCTCGGTGGCAGGGCCCCAGGGGTGGATGAGATTCGCCCAGAGTTCCTTAAGGCTCTGGATGTTGTAGGGTTGTGTTGGCTTACGCGACTCTGCAATATTGCGTGGACATTGGGGGAAGTGCCCCTGGATTGGCAGACCGGGGTGGTGGTCCCCCTATTCAAAAAGGGGGACCGTAGAGTGTGTTCCAACTACAGGGGAATCACGCTCTTAAGCCTCCCTGGTAAGGTCTACTCGGGGGTTCTGGAGAGGAGGGTCCATCGGATAGTCGAACCTCGGATTCAGGAGGAGCAGTGTGGTTTTCGTCCTGGCCGTGGAACACTGGACCAGCTCTACACTCTCAGCAGGGTCCTGGAGGGTGCGTGGGAGTTTGCCCAACCGGTCTACATGTGCTTTGTGGACTTGGAGAAGGCGTTCGACCGCATCCCTCGGGGAACCCTGTGGGGGGTACTCTTTGAGTATGGGGTACCGGGCCCTTTTATACGGGCTGTTAGGTCCCTGTATGACCGGTGTCAGAGCCTGGTCCGCATCGCCGGCAGTAAGTCGGGCTTGTTCCTGGTGAGAGTTGGACTCCGCCAAGGTTGCCCTTTGTCACGATTCTGTTCATAATTTTTATGGACAGAATTTCTAGGCGCAGCCAAGGTGTTGAGGGGATATGTTTTGGTGGCCTTAGGATTGCGTCTCTGCTTTTTGCAGATGATGTGGTCTTATTGGCTTAATCAGATCATGATCTACAGCTTTCGCTGGAGCGGTTCGCAGCCAAATGCAACGCGGCCAGGATGAGGATCAGTTCCTCCAAATCCGAGGCCATGGTCTTGAGCCGGAAAAGGGTAGAGTGCCCTCTCCAGGTCAGGGAGGAGGTCATACCCCAAGTGGAGGAGTTTAAGTATCTTGGGGTCTTGTTCACGAATGAGGGAAAAATGGAGCGTGAGATCGATAGGCGGATAGGTGCAGCGTCAGCAGTGAAGCGGGCGCTGTACAGGTCTGTCATGGTGAAGAGAGAGCTGAGTCAAAAGGCGAAGCTCTCAATTTACCAATCGATCTACGTTCCTACCCTCATCTATGGTCACAAACTTTGGGTTGTGACTGAAAGAATGAGATCTCGGATACAAGCAGCCAAAATGAGTTTTCTCCGCAAGGTGTCTGGGCTCTCCCTTAGAGATAGGGTGAGAAGCTTGATCATCCGGGAGAGACTCAGAGTAGAGCCGCTGCTTCTCCATGCCGAGAGGAGCCAGTTGAGGTGGCTTGGGCATCTGTTTAGGATGCCTTCTGGACGCCTCCCTGGTGAGGTGTTCCGGACACGTCCCACCGGAAGGAGGCCCAGAGGAAGACCCAGGACACGCTGGAGGGACTATGTTTCTCGGCTGGCCTGGGAATGCCTCGGGATTCCCCCGGAAGAGCTGGCCCAAGTGGCTGGGGAGAGGGAAGTCTGGGCCTCCCTACTTAGGCTGCTACCCCCGCGACCCGACCCCGGATAAGCGGAAGAAACTGGATGGATGGATGGATGGGATGGATGGATGGAGTTGTAATCTATTTGATCTTATGCTTGGAAAAGTGTAAAGGCATCAACTTTGTGTTATAACTTGTGGAGTTTGAGAAAAACAGCGTTTTAATCTCTTTCTGCTGTAGATGGTTCCTCTCATGAACATTGCCATTGATACACTGATGAACAACCTGAGTGCCCACGCTGAGTCAGAAAAAGGCTTTGACATCAACAAGTAATCAAGAGCAACGTTAAAATGTGTATTATTGTTGTTCTTCTGTCTATTTCATTTGTTTCTGTTTGTTGTAGGTGTTTCAGCTGTTTTGCCCTGGATGTTATTGCCAGCGTGGCTTTTGGCACTCAAGTGGATTCCCATAAAACTCCGGATAATCCGCTTGTTCGATATGGTCAGATGTATTTTTCCACGTCTTTCTTCAGGCCCTTTGTCTTGTTTCGGGGTATGTATCTGTGTATAACAACTGAAAAAATAAATATTAAAAAAAAAAAAAAATGTGCAAATTAATTTGACCACAGACCAGAATTTGTTCTTCTAACGTTGGTATCAGATGTTCTTTTTAGTAAATTCAACAATTATTTATTCAAAAGGGTTTTGTTTAATTGTTTCCATCCAAAGTCACGTACATGGTTTTATTGTGTAGTTAGTGTTTAAAATTCACTTCTATTTTTGTGTGTGTGTGTTTTGCACAGAACTTTTTCCTGCTATCATGACTCCGCTTTCAAAATTTTTTCCCAATAAAAAGCGAGAGGAGGTGAATAAATTCTACATCCGCATTATTCAGAGGATCATAAAGCAGAGAGAGGAGCAGGCGCCTGATCAGGTAAAAGTCCAGATTTATTTTGTTAAATTGCTGTGTTCCACACAATGTTCTTCACTGTGCCACGGCTGATGACTAAATGAATGAAAATATGTGCTTGTAGAGGCGTAGAGACTTCCTTCAGCTGCTTTTGGATGCTCGAACGGAACCAGAGACTGTCTCTTTGGATGACTTTGACACAGGAAACCAGTCAGAGTTTGATGACAGAAGGCAGCAGACACAATCCTCAGCAGCAGATCACAAAAATAGTGATTTTCATGCGGAGGCACACAAGAGGCGACCACAAAAACAGATGCTTACTGAGGATGATATTGTGGGTCAGGTTTTCATTTTTCTTGTGGGGGGCTTTGAAAACGTCAGCAACACATTAGCCTTCGCCAGCTACCTGCTGGCCCTCCATCCTGAATGTCAACGCAAAGTACTGGACGAGGTGGACGACTTCTTCACAAGACATGTGAGTTTATTGATTTTTAGTCGCATTGATTTATTTTACTGTGTTTTTGACATTAAAGTTGTTTCTGGTTCAAAGTAATTCTTGTTTTAATTTGCAGGATTCACCAGATTACACAAACATCCAGGAGCTGAAGTATTTGGACATGGTTGTATGTGAAACGTTGCGGCTCTACCCTATTGTTTTTAGGTAAAGACATTTGAACCAGTAAGAGATGTGATGGAATAAATTTACTTCTGTTGTATTGTTATAATTAAACTGATTAAACACATATTGTAATCGTGTTTAAAAAAGAAAAATGGCAAAATGGGGCTATAAAATCTGAAGCAGTGATATTTTCTTTGACATTTGTTCAAGGATTGTTCGAGAAATTAAGCAAAACTGTGCGCTGGGTGACCTACGTCTTCCTAAGGGCATGTTAGAGATCCCTGCAGGCTTCCTCCATTTTGACCCGGATCACTGGCCAGAGCCAGAGAAGTTCAACCCTGAAAGGTGTTTCAGTTATTACTTCTTCAGTGCTGGGACTCAGCTTTGTCTGAAGTTCTTATTTAACATTTCTATTCAAAAGCGTTAGGAGAAATCTTGCTTTATTCAAACACTAAATATAATGGAGGACTTGAAAGCAATGAGAAAATTTTAATTTACTTTGTCAGAGCAAAGCAGTTAGTGAAGCTAAAAGGATTAAGTCAATGCTGTTATGAAAAAAAAACTAAAAAAAAACATATTTTTATATTGAATGGCTCAATTTGTTCTTTCAAAAACCTAACACACTTATGAATGGTTGACCCCCAGGTTTACACCAGAGGCAAGAGCTAACCGTCATCCCTTTGTCTATCTGCCGTTTGGGACTGGGCCCAGGAACTGTGTGGGAATGAGACTTGCCCAGCTGGAAATCAGAATGGCTTTAGCACATTTGTTCCACAAATTCAGCGTCACAGCTTGCTCTGAGACCAAGGTGGGTCAGCTCAGTAATCAAAACTAATAAAACGAACAATGAAACTAATATCATTATTTTCTATTTTACCTGCTACTGTCAAATAGCAGTTTGTCTTGATCTTTTTCTGTGAACAAGAAAAGGAAAGTTTTGTGGAAATAGCAGTCACAATCATCACTTATCGCACCTTATGTTACGATACTCTCCTGACATGCAAGGTTGTTTTTTTTCGTTATTTTGTCTTTTACTTGAGTCTGTTTTTACAGACGTGGGTAGAAAATGCATTCATTTAGCCTGTCAGGATCTTTGTTTCACAACTTCCGATACAGATGTGCGACGAGTGAATTTGACATTGATTATTGTTATTCATTTGAATTTCAATGCCCTGTGGGATTCCAGTGTTGGTCCTCCTGCAGCTTTCTGAATGACAGGGCTGAGCCAAATGAGCAACAGCTGTGGCCTATTCTAGTAACGTACTCCAGGGGTTTAAAGGACTGATGTGTTGGCTTCTCTGCTGGAACACTGGATACCAACTGTCCTGTTTCCTGAGGTCTTCCTCTTGGCTTACCTGTTTTTCTCCAAGTTGAGCTTAACCCTGAAACTCTTGGTGCAACTTGCCTTCAGTCTCAGCTTGTCCTGCTGCTCACCTGCCTGCCTGCAGAACAGGGGCGGTCCTAGACTTTTTGTTGCCCTGAGTGAACAATTTACAGTATTGCACTTCAAGAAGCCCCATTTAAATTTCACAATTGTCATAGAAAGTCTTACCCTTCTTTAAATAAGTGGATCTACACTATTACTTTTCAAACAAATACAGATTAAATTGCCCAACAACTAAACAATGAAGAAAATCTGTTTACTAATATTGTGTTTTGAACAAGACACAACTTTGACTGCACAAATGTCGTGTAAAGTCTTACCCTTCTTTGAATAAGACTAACTACTGTACTTCAAAGAAGAAAATACAGATTAGACAACGCAAGTGAACACTTGTTCAAAACTTTTCAAAATGTTATGTAACCAACCACCACCCTCCCTTCCCATACACACACATACACACGAAGATTCCTGCTGAGGGGAGGAAGAAGCAAATGGGTTTTCATCCTCAGGATCAGACGTGCGTGGAGACACATTTGTGGCTCAGGAGGTGTGTAGTTCCTGAGGCTCCAAAACCATTTCTCAAGAGGCAAAATTAAGATGGCTCCTTATCCTGGCCTGTGGCAGAGGGTGCCCCAAAATATTTCAGAAGTGCCCCTGAATTTGCATTGAAATACCATACATCAAACTTCTAACACATCAAACTTTTAATGCATCAAACTTCTAATACATCATGCATCATTATCATTATCAAAAGATTCATAAGTGTATCCTCGCAATGATTATTTAATGGACTATAAAACCATTGTTGAGAAGTATACTAATGCAACACTGAGTAATTACAGCAAGCTAACTTAATTTTCCCGTGTAATGTGCAATGATTTAAGGACTGTCATACTGACATAGCAAACGGCTAACAACTAAGACAAAACAAACAGGTCTACATATTTGTCCAATTTGTGAACTGTTCAGTGGATTATCACCTCTTCTTGTTAATGGCTGATGTTCACTATTAACCAAAAGCTCCTTCCAGTGCTCCTTCCTCCACCTCTGACCACTCAGCTGAACATTTCCACACATGTCCTGATGCTGCTCAATAATTCAGGTATAAATCTAACAAGGTTAAGTCAGGTCCTCTGGACAGATTCTTCTTTGTTGATCTCAAATACACAGCCTTCACTGCTCCCCAAGAACCTGACATGACACCCTCTGAATTTTTTAAGGCAATCCCGATCATTGTGGTGGTTCCATTTTACAATGTAGACTGGCATTCACCATTAACTTATGCCTCTAAGGTCGTTTTCACACCAGATAGTCCGGTAGACTCGGTTCGGTTCGGGACCAATATTCATGAGCTTTTGTTTACATTTGAGCTGGTGCGTTTGCATTCACACTGCACTGTGCAGTCGAGTCAACCTGTTGAACCAACCTGTTCCTCCGCTCGCCTGTGGGGGCGCTGCACCAAGAACTACTGAAAGAAACGACACAAAATCCTCTGAAGACACGTGTTCTTCTTCTTCTGTAAATAAAAATAAAAACGAAGTGGCACCAAGTTTTAGCAGTTTTAGGAGTTATATTTTGTCATTTTTCAAAAATGGACTCAGCATGAGCAGAAGATGAGACAGAAGACCATGGAGAATATTGTTTTTCCACACAAGGCAGCTGACGGCTCCATATAAGGTCAGAGAAATGCATGTTTGTGTACCCTGCGGAGGGGGTCCGGTCTGTTTACATTCACACTGCACTCCAACCGCGCTGGAGTTCACTTCTACCGGACCGAGATCTAGGTTTTAGCCCGGGCCAGAGTTCGCCTTTTTGTTCCATGACAGAGTTCGATGGTGCGTTCACACCTCCCCAAACAAACCGGACTTTCTAGGAAAACAAGCTAGAGTTCGATTAAAGCGGACTAAACAGGGCTAGTGGGAATGCACCCTAACTCAGTGCTTAATTTGTAAACCAAATGATTCTGGAATGCAAATAGTGTGGGGGTGGTTGGGGGAGTCCTCCCCCAAAAAAATTATTCTACATAAGATTTTGAATAAAGTAGATGCCATTTCCTGCATTCGGGTGTATTTTAATGGGTTGTTAAACATCTACGTTTACCTACATTTATAAACACTTGATTCAATAACTATTTTAGAGAGCATGGCTCAACAAGAAGTTTGACCAACAGCTCTCTCCTTGTGTGAATAGAGCATGCTCAGCTTCTCTCAAGCATCCTAGTTGCCTTGGAGACAACCCAGTTCCTGATTCAGCATGTGCTTAGAATTCGTGGACATTGTATCTGATCGAGAACAACAATTCATCTCCCAAGTGTGGAAAACATTCTACAGTGCTCTTGGGGCCTCATCCAGTTTAACTTCAGGATCAGTGTGATGGATTTAAGCATGAGTTGGATGCCACTCTAAGGTGTGTAATCAACAATAACCCCTATTCATGGAGTAAACATCTGGTCTTGGTAGAGTACACCCTATCAACATCGTTCCACGGCACTGACTTATCAAGTCAGCCAGAAGATATGGCCACATCTGAATGTAACTTCAAAGACACCCCCAGGAAACTAGACCCCATTGTTCTTATGTTCATTCCTCATTGTGACAATCCCTCTGCAGTTAGGTACAAGTTGACTGCCTCTGTGCATATTCATCCCACCTTCCACATTTCCAAAGTAAAGCCCATCTCCAAGAGTCCATTGTGCCCACCTTGAGACCTCCCTCCACCCCCCCAAGGTCTTATCCTGGGCGTACCTGTGTGGTTGATTTTCCTAAATTGTCTCAACACAGAAACGGGTAAAAGATGTCTTCAAACCGGTCTGAATTTTTTATCGCAATAAACAAGGCATGAGTCACAGAGGGCCTGGGCAATCTGCAGAAGAGCACGCGAAGGAGTATCACTGCAGAAATATTTATAAAGTTGGTGTGAGCTAACGGAAAACATCTGGGTTTGGTTGAACAGAACCAGGCTTGGGGTGTGAGTGCCGCCGCTGATTTAAAGACTCAGAGCACGGCCCTCAGCACAAACCTTACGCAAACAGGAACTGTTTGACTACAGCAGCAACTAATTATTACTATAATTTCCGGACTATTGAGAGCACCTGAATTTAAGCCGCACCGACAAAATTTAAAAAATAATTAGAATTTTGTATGTATGTATGTATGTATATATATATATATAGGCAGCACGGTGGCACAACTGGTAGAGCTGCTGCCTCTCAGCGAGCAGGTCCTTGGTTCAAACCCCGGTCCAGGGGCCTTTCTGGGTGGAGTTTGCATGTTCTCTCCGTGCATGCGTGGGTTTTCTCCGGGTACTCTGGTTTCCTCCCACAGTCCAAAAGCATGCATGTTAGGCTGATTGGTAACTCTAAATTGTCCCTAGGTGTGAGTGAGAGAGTGAATGGTTGTTTGTCTTGTTTGTCTCTATGTGGCCCTGTGATGGACTTGCGACCCGTCCAGGGTGTACCCCGCCCCTCGCACAGTGATTGCTGGACATGGGCACCAGCGACCCTTGTGACCCAAAATGGAATAAGCGGGTAAAGATAATAGATGGATGGATGGATGGATTTATACAGCTAGTCTCATTGAGTCACAAGGACCCACCCCCCCAAGAGAGACATGTGTTGGTCAGCCATGTGAGTGCCCGGGTGTGACTAAATGTTTTGGCGGCATGAATCTTCTTAGCCCATCAAAAAAAAAATCCATAAATTAGCTGCAGCATTGTACAAGCCACTCTGTTCAAAACGTGTGGGGGGAAAAAGTAGCAGCTTATAGTCTGGAAATTACAGTACTTACCTGATCACCTCTATCTCTGCCACCATACATACCTGGAGTCCTCCGCCCTCCTCTCTAAGTCACTGGACCACAAAGAACCTGTAATAAGAAATATAATTACTACAAATCTAACAACTACATTACCCAGAACCCATACTTACCCATCTACCTTCTTTGCAGATCCTCCCATGTGTCTCCTGTAAATACTTCACTGTCAATAAATATCAACTTTTTATTTGAATTGTTTGAGTCTGTTTACTCTCCGTTCCTCTGCTCTGGGAATTTGCTACCGCGAATATGAAGTATCCACCTGACAATTATTCCAGTTCTGTTGAATATTCCACTTTTGATGAATACCAGTCCTGAATATTAGAATAAAGCATTATAAATATTTGATATGTGTGCAAAAATATTTTTCTCCACTTACATATCTTTCATGTATTTTTGTTTTCTTTCAGGTTCCTTTGGAGTTGAAATCTATTAGCAATCTAGGACCTAAAAATGGTGTGTTTGTGAAAATCACAACACGGGACAATTGAGGACATGAAGACTCTTCATCAGATCTTTAGACACTTGGCCATCCCTCAAATGGGCTGTAGACCTTTATGAAACATTCTAATATATCCTGCAGTAACATGAACAAAATGCAGAAAGACCGAATGTGTTTGGGTTTTTTGTGTGTGTTTTTTTTTAAGAAAGATGATCATGAAGTAATCATGAAGTGAGTTGTTTGGCAAATCTGTGATTTAAGTGAGCTGTCATAAAACATAATGATGTCAGATTTCCTCTGCAAAGAGAAATGGCTTCTCATTTTGCCCAAAGATGAACATATTTTGTGTTGCTGGTTATATTTGAGTTCTTAAAATTAAATTGTTTTATTTTTTTCAGTCAAGAAATATTCAGTAAGGTGGAGAAAGAGACTCGTCCTATCTGACCTTGTTTTCTCATTCTTATCAGGTTTGTTAGTAAAACCCAAGATAAGAAGTTTCTTGCGGCCTCTCAGTGATATGAATCTTTACAATGTTTAAACATTTGCACCTTGTTAAAACAACTACTCATTTGCCTAATTTTATTCACATTGTATAACTTTTTTACTAAACCTGGGAAGCAATTTGTTTTTATTTTTTATGAGTGATTAAGTAATTCGGGAAAATATTTTTTGATTATTTGAATGTTTATATGTCTTCTGTGTGGAGAAATTTTTAAATAAAGTAATCAGCTAGCTAATGTTGTTGTAATGTTATTATGTAAAAAAAAAAAAAAAAAAATGCTTTTTTTTAACAACTGAATATCATCACTCGTTCTTAAAATGCCCCATATGTCATTTCATTGATGAACTTTGTAAGCAAGCTGCACCCAGAGCCGCCACAGAGGTGCACAGGACCATCCACACACACTGTCACCTGAAATAATTTATTAGCAAGCTAACATAATATTTATGTTTTGGATTATGTAAGCAAATCCAAAGAAAAGAAAAAATTACATCCCAACCCAACATAGAAAAGACCCGACCATTTTGATCTTTTTATCTATTTTACCAAAGACCTTATCATTTTAAGGAGATAATGCTGTATAACTACTCAAATATGCAGCCCCAAATTTTCAATCCTGTTATCAATTTTTAAATGACAAGGCTTTAGCTTGCAACATCACATAAATAGCCTTTTCTCAAGGTGGTGCAGCATTAAAATATTTTTTTGATAGGGTTTTTAAATCATTTGTAATGATCCATCATTTATATTTATGGAAAACATTTTACTGCATTGTTAACACTATTCAATTCAATTCAGTTTTATTTATGTAGCGCCAAATCACAACAAAGTTGTCTCAGGGCATTTTACAGAAACAGTCACATACATAAAAGCCACTATACCGGGAGAAGACCCAAGACACGCTGCGGGGGGACTACGTTTCTCGGCTGGCCTGGGAGCACCTTGGGATTCCCCCAGAGGAGCTGGCCCAAGTGGATGGGGAGAGGGAGGTCTGGGCCTCCCTGCTTAGGCTGCTGCCCCTGTGACCCGACCTCGGATTAGCAGAAGAAAATGGATAAATGGATGGATAAACAATATACAAAAAAATGTTACTGATTCCCTGCCAGCTGTATTTACAACTGAAAGGTAAAAGTTAAAGCTTTTCCTAGTTGTAGCCTTCTCATGTCACTGATAACTGAAGAGTGTGTACACCACAAATGGCACTTTAGAAATTAAGAAAATGCACAGTGAATGACATAAAAATCTTTTCCTGAAAAGTAAAACGTGCATGGTGCAGACAAAGCTTTTAGTTTTCAGGGTTTCTCTCTTGTGAAACCAGTTTCAATGAGAGGAACTGTCCACTGTCTACTTTTAAGACTAGGCCTAATAATTCCCCTTTTGATTAATCCTATAGCTGGTTACAGAGGGCTGGTCTGAAGGACAGCACAGAGGCGCTGATCATGGCAGCACAAGAGCGATAGAGGTCGGGGTCTACCATCAAGACCCAAAATGGAAGCTGTGCAAAGATGCCCCCGAGACAGTCCAGCACAATAGCAGGATGTAAGATGCAGCCAGGCAAAGCATAGAATGTAATTGCTAAGTGGCTGGAATAATTTACAGGAACATCTTTTCTAAGTGCAGGATGAAGGTCCCACAGTCAAAATAGGAGACTTCGCTAAGGTGGATTGAGAATGACAAGGCCAAGACATTGTAGGTCTTCCAGACAAACAGGGGATGACCAGTGGTTAATCTGAGCCAGATCCTGCCGGAACAAGATCTGGGAGCTCTCTCATTTTGACCGTGTGCGTTCCGGCAACTGTTTGCTCAGATCCAACGACTCAAATCTCCACCCCTAAAAGTCCCAAGTCATTGTGCATTTTTATTTTAATTATTTATTGAAAATACAACGGGAGGAGACATTGCCCAGTCTGTGGAGTGTTTCTTCAAGCTGCATTATGCGCACCAGCTCACGCACACGCTCCTGCCCAGCAGAGACGCGGAGCGTATGTCCTGTGGTGATGAACGTCTTCGTCCACCTTCAGCTGTGCTTCCTGCAGACAGTGCACGTTTTACGCACAAGAGAGTCTCCAGACAGCTCTGCAGAGCGCGCACAACTGCTGATGTGTCTGAACTCCTGCATACATTACCGCGGTGCCTAACATTTCAGACATAATAAATAAAAAAGCTTACAGTGTAAAAAAAATACATAAATAAATAAATTAAAAAAATATATATATACGTCTGAAATGTTTATTATTCACATTACGCTTGACAGAATCGGAGCTGATTGTTGTTGCTCTCTAAAATAGTCATTTCAATTCAACCTTTATTCATACATGTTGTTAGTCTCATTGAGCCTCGAGGACTCATTTACAAGAGAGACCTGTTTTAATCAAATGTTTACAGATGTTTAAAAACCCTTTAAAATACACCAAAATGCAGGAAATGACATATCTTTTATTTCCTGATGCATGCTCAATAATCCAGGTAGAAAAATCCAAGAAAGTTCAATCTGGTCCTCTGGACATTCAAAAAAACAAAAAACAAAACAAAGCAAAAAAAAATGTAGAAACGTTTCGTCTCTCATCCGAGAGACTTCCTCAGTCTGAGCTGCTGTTTTCAGCTCAGTCTCTTAAATAGCACCTTCTCAGAGTGGATCAGCCAGTTTTGCTGCTGACAACCAAAACCAACTGATCACATGCTCAAGAAGGACCATCAGCCTAACTAAGGATCATTAGCACACTGATGGCTGTTTACTATTCAAAGGGGTTTGCGTGATACCAGCAATCACAGCATTGTAAGAGGGGGACAGTTGAACCCGGAGGCCTCCACCCCTGTTTAATGATGGACGGTTTCTTTTCACAAAGATGGCCTCCTTTACTCCTCTCTCAAACCATCGTTCCTCTCTGTCCAGGATGTGAACATCTTCATCCTTGAAAGAGTGACCGCTGGAATATCTTTTATTCCACATTTTTGGGGGGAAGACACACGGACCGCCTGCGATTTGTGTTCTGGCATCAATTGGTTTACAAATTAAGCCCTGGGGAATGGATGACTAATCAATTGGACATGGTCTCAGATCAGGTGATTTTGTTTTCAGTTCTTCAGCGCTTCCCCTAATCACAGCATTTTTATAGCACCTTAGGAATCCTTAAATATATTTTCACAAAATAAAATAGTAAATACAAAGATTTTGGACATATTTTTCCAGTTTCTCATGTGTTCATAGCCATAGAAAATGAAATGTTTGTCATGTTTCTGTAACGTTTTTGTGTCATAAGTTGAAAATGTTCAAACTATACTAGGGTCTATACCAGGGGTGTCAAACACATACTATATACTAAAGGGGGCCAAAATTAAAACCGTTTTCAAATTAAGGGCCAGTTTCAGAATCTACATTAACTCAAGTCATATACCCAACATCTTTTCCTGGTTGCAGGTTCCTCAACAAGAGTTTGATTGGTCTCATTTGACGTTTTAAATTTAAAATAGTATCTTGGGGCCAGATAAGATGTCAACGAGGGCCACATTTGGCCCCTGGGACCTTGAGTTTGACACATATCTATTTAAATCAAAAGAAAAGGGAAAGAACAGGAAAATCAAACCATCCAAGTTAAAGGTAGCTGAAGTAAATTCAAGGGCATCAAAAATTACATGTTCCACAATTTTTTTTTTATGTTTTTTTTTAATCACTAAAAGATTATTCCTAGATTTGACTTTTGTAATTAATAAGATGTTAAATGATTTCCCAAAAGCATTCAACACTGAGACCAACAGAATTTCTGTGACACTCAGCCTCGTCTTTGTTTTTTATGAGTTTCTTTTACTGGTGAGTAGATGTCAGTATTTGTATTTGTGCCATTGTTTCTGCTGTAACTTTAACTTTCAATATGTACAATCCAAAACAAGTTTTAAAATAAATGACTGGACTTCTATTCTGAAGGTGAAGATGTTTTGTTTCCCATCCAGGAGGCTTTATCAGTTCAAAACATTGATAAAGTCTCCCGGATGTGAAGCAAAATGTTTTCCTCTTCAGAATAGTCCATATGTTTTGTTATTAACCTTTTTATTTGGATTTATGATCCAAATAAAATGGCTGAGTGGGAATCGTCACCAGCAAATTTAATACAATATGAGTGATTGTTGATAATTAATTGAAATGTGTATTAACAAAGTAATGGGTGATGCTTTTGGGGTAAAAAAAAATTGAATAACTGGCTGTTGTGATAGCATTTTTTTATGATTTCATTGTAAATTTATTAATAAATAAATAGAAAAGCTCATTATTTATCTGACTACCTGGTCACCCTTTATCCTCAGCGCATTAGTTTGTAGACCCAGTTGTTTTCTGAGTCCAGGGAAAAGGAATCTGCAGTATCACTCTCCTCATCATAAACTCATAAATGGGTTAAAACACAACTCGTTTACTAGAGCAAATGTCTAATTTACCAGTCTCTCCATAAATTCACAAACCCCCACCTGCTCCAATCCTGGCTAAACTATATTATCTTTATGTGTTTCTTGTTCCCTAAAATTACTTGTGTTTTTAAACATTTTTAGACCGTTCTAAAAGTAAAATATATCATGATATAAAAAAAAAAACAACATTAAATATAAGTTTGCTAGCTGAGTTGTATGATGAATCGTAGTTCAGTTTGGTCTGCAAATGAGTTGACCAAAGAAAATCAAAAAGAAACCCTTTCATGTTTTTGCTAAAGGATGCAGCTTTTAAGACATTTTAATGATTATATTTGAAAATAAAAAACCTCCTCTCATTAAAATAGGTGACTTTTCTTGTGACGCAGTTTTCACATGCTTATCATGTTCAGCTGAAAGGCAAACAATTCATGACCTCTTACGGAAGTTAATTATTCTTAAAGTGCTTTTACTAAAGGAAGGATATTATAATTACTGAGCAATTAAAAGAAAAATAGGTTTCTTGTTAACATCCATTAATTTTAGAATAGGAGACTCTTTATATGTAATCTAGTTTTATTGTCCTTATTATATTTACTACAAGACAGGATCTAAAGTATTTTATATCATCATTAAAAAGAAACATTTGCATTCCTTACTTAAACAAAAATCCTAATTAGTTCAGTTAGACTAAGGTTGACATTATTAACTACATGAGAACAATTTGAGAATGTCTTCAAATAGGTTTTAAATAAGTATAAATATCTGAATATTTGGTGAAGAAAGCAATTTTTTTTTTTAGCTTTTGCAGCATTACAGCCTCAGCATACAAACATTTACACTGTAAGATGTTTGCAGATAAAGTTTTGCATCATCAAAGAATGAGCATCTGTTCCATTTATAAGTTAAAGAAGTCAAAAAGCACTGACTGGCTCATTGTGTCTAAATTAATGGAGAACAACTTGCTCTGTTAAACACATTGTAGCTACGTTTTATCAGTCTCTGGCAAGAAAAGTTTGCCAATGAAAATACTTTTTCATCATTGATTTTTCGAAAATAGCAGATTTTAGTTTTACAGTCCACAACCGGCTCCTTCACGGTAAAGCAAAGGTTATTCTCCTCCAACAGGTCATCATCTCCTTCACCTCCTGCACAGACGGTTCCGTTCAGTTTATTTGAAAAGTGCCTTTTAACAACAAAAGTCATCTCAAAGCACCGGACAAAAACATTCACATACGTTACTAAATGCTAAAAAATTATTTATCTAAGGAAACCAGCAGATCATATTGAATCTTTACCATCTTAAGCGACACACTGGCGACAGTGGGAAGGAATGACTCCCTTTTAACAGGAAGATTCCTCCATCAGAACCAGACACAGGATAGCTTCAACTGGCCAGGAGCAGAGGAGACAGAAAATGGACTCAAGTACTCAGTGATTACAAATGCAAACTTGGAGAGTGTATTGATTTATTGAATTCACAGATGATCACACTGAAGGAAGAACCTAAACGCCTCTATGTGTCAGAGCTGAACAGATTACTTTATGACTTCTGATGTGGAGAAATTTGTCTTAGAATACTGGTGTGTGTCCATATTGGTGTCACTGAGTTGTAACGGTACTAAAAAAAAAATCTTTAAATAATATGCTTATCTGATTCATTCATTCAAAAGGGTCAGTGCTAACATCAAGTATTCTGGCTGATGTTAATATTCATCTAGAGGCATTCTAACACCTCAGTAAAGTCAGTAGGTGACTATTTTTCAGGTTCTCTAAGTTCAGAGCTGACAAACATTTGGTTTTCTTTGCTTTAAGTTCCTTATATTATAAAAGTTAAGGGATTTGTCGAACCAATAGGGTCCATTAAAAAAAAGGTCTTTGGGGTCTCGGGAACACGCACCTAGGGCTTTACTGATAATTTAGATTTCAAGTCACATTTTTCTCAAAGTAATAATTAACAAAAAAACAAAAGAGAGAGAGAGAGAAAGATAAACCAGCCTAGGATCGCAGTTCATAAAACGACCGTTTGGAACATGTTTTGGAAACAGGTGCGTAAATGTGTGCATCTTTTCTGGTAAATTTAATAGTTAATTATAGTTTGCTTAAATGCAGATGTATCATTACAAATAATTCACTTATATATAAATATATATTTCTTCTTTTACAGGAAATTCCTTCTCATTTTGATTGAAAAGAGCTGAAAAACAAGTGTTTTCCATCATGGAGACAGATTTTCTACATGTGTTCATTGTTGAGCTCAGCAGGATTTCTGTGACAGTCAGCCTTCTTCTCATGTTTCTGGGTCTTCTTTACTGGTAAGTAAATGTTCATATTTCAATGTCTCTGCAGTAGAAATAATTCACATTATACTGGTTTTCCATGCTATAATTTTACTTACTGCGTTTGTCTTTATTCAGTTAAACGAACCTTTGCTCTTCTTTGTCGGCAGGTACTCAGTTTACCCGTTCTCGGTCCTCTCTCGATGTGGAATCAAACATCCAAAGCCGGTCCCTTTCTTTGGTAATTTGCTCATGTTACGTCAGGTAAGGTCCACATCAACAAAGCAGATCTGTCGGTCAGATCATTATTTTACCTTCTGCTATGTTGTTTTCATTTGACTGATTCATACGCAGACGTGACAAAGATTTAACTTTATGCTGTTGTTTTTTTTCTGCAATTTAAATGAGAAACAGTTTTCGGTCAAATAAAATGTTTACTCATGTTGACTTTAGTTGTTTTGTTTTGTTTTTTCAGGGGTTTTTCAAACCTCTCACTGATCTTGTAAAGACACATGGCAGAGTAAGTGGGTAAGTCCAAATACCTTTTTTTTTCATGAGGATTCAATTCAGCTTATTTTATTTTGTCCCAAATCATGATTATAGTAATTATCAGATGACTACCAATTTTTGAATTTCCATTGGGATTACTGTAATAAAATATTTAATTCACAACAAATATTTCCAGGTTCATGTATAAAAATGCAAAAAGACACAATCCATGTTAAATTATATAGGATCCAGCTCAATATATTGTTTATACAGCCTGCTTTAACCTAATTTTAACATTTTATAACCATAAATCGTATTAAAAATGGCTAGAAAATAAAGTGTTGTCTCCTAAAATCTGGTGCACTAGATTGCACCACATTTCACAACTTAGATGGTATTTATTCAGACTTAAATTTGTTAAGTACGCAGATAAAAAAATTTCTGTATATAGTGAGTGCACACCTGCATTTCAAAATTGCACGTCATTTATCTGAACAACTAACCGAGTGGACTCTTTCTAACTGCACTGTTTGATGTAATTCAGGATTAGCTTTTTGTATTGGACTTCTTTGTTTGTCACGAGCATAGGCGTCACAACAATTATATGTGAAGGGGCTCAGTGGGGTTGCACACTGAAAAACACCCTCCTCCTCTCAGACACCCAAACAGAAACAATCATTTATTCAAAAGAATAGATGCCCTGCAGACAGTGCACGTTATGCACAGAAACGTCTCCAGACAGCTCTACACAGCGCGCACAACTAACTAATTTGTCAAAATAACAACAGCGATCAAAATGTCAAAAAAGACAGTCCAGTTTACTTTAATAAAAAATGGATGGATTGTCCGACAACCGAGAATTGAAGTCTTCAGGTGCTTCAAACGGTGCCACAAGACTGAAGCAGGAGCAACAACCAGGACTGAATTCAGCGGAGAAGAGTTCAGCTCAGAACCGTGAAGTGAGGGGAGGGAGGTGGGGGTTTAGGACACCTGACAGAATCGGAGCTGCTGCACACACAACTTGCTGTTCCTCTCCAAAATAGTAATTTTATTAAGTGTCTACAAATGTAGGTAAATGTTGATGTATTACAACCTGCTAAAACACCAAAATGCAGGAAATGGCATCTCTGTTATTCAAAATTTTCTGTGAGAGGACCCATGGACACCCCCCCCCCCCCCCCCCCCCGGTTCCGGCATCAATCAGTTTACAAATTAAGCCCTGGGTTACCTACAACTCACCACACCACATGTACTGTAGTGTTTCTCCTAGGTCATCTGTCTTGGCAGTGTGCGCTGAGAGTTTTTTTGTCGACGGGGCTGGGGGAGGAGGGGGAGACACCTCTGGGTTGTGTGCTAGCTTAGAGCTACATTAGTGCGGGCAGTTGTCGACTGGGGAGAGTGTTGGTCAGGCTACTTCTTGTTGAGCACAGCACAATCAAGTGCTGTGAATCATTTACTTATGTAGGTAAACAGATGTTTAACAACCCGTTAAAATACACAAGAATGCAGGAAATGGCATCTACTTTGTTCAAAATTTTCTGGTGGAGGACCCCCGGGTCCCCCACCAGTTTGTTCCCCCCACATTACAAATGCTTATGATGCCAATGGTCATGCGTACCCTTACAATTTGTGGGGCTCTAATTGTAGGATCCAAGCACGTTTATTATTTTTGAACATCTTTAGTATGAAATGGAATGATTTACTGTAACATGTCTTGCCCGACTTGGTTTAAATGATATATTTCAGATATTATTTTGGTCGGAAGCCAGTGGTAGTGATCGCAGACCCTGATATGCTCAGACAGGTGTTAATTAAGGACTTCAGTAACTTCACTAACAGAATGGTAGGTAAGATTATCAGCCAAAGTATGTTGTACACATGTTTCCCCCACATTTCCAGTGCACATTTTCATGACAGTCCTCTAACTTGTATTTCTGTGTCCAAGTCCCGTGTTTCCACCAAACCCTGGGAAGACTGTCTGCTCATGTTGAGGGATGAACGCTGGAGGAGAGTTCGGAACATCCTGACGCCAACATTCAGTGCTGCCAAGATGAAAGAAGTAATGTTCACAGTTTGTATATATATATATATATATATATATATATATATATATATATATATATTCTTTTTTTTAGTTTTACATGGTTATTATTTAATTAGACCTTTATCGTAATGTTTAAACTCTTTAACTTAAAAATGTATGTTACAAGATTAGGCACCATTCCAAATTATTTTCTTTTCAACTCAGTTTGTAGTAAAAGTTATCTCAGGACACCATGCAACACTGTAAAACGGTATAAACTGTGCAAACCAGATTCACGTCACATATAAACAGTTCAATCCAATCAAAACACAGGGTGCTGTAAATCATAACGTACAGAAACACAGAGAACGTTTTCACATCGATGAAAAAGTATCAGCATAGACAGTCAAACTCTAAACATGGGAATCGTCAAAAAAGGGCTCAGACATTATTAGATTTGTGTTTTGTTGGACTAGCAGGAGACATAATTTAACTTTTTTTTATCTTTCGTTAAACTGTAGATGGTTCCTCTCATCGACACAACCTCGGATGTTCTGATGAACAACCTGAATGTCCATGCGGAGTCAGGAGAGGCCTTTGACATCTACAAGTAATCACAGTCAGCACAGGAAACAATATGCTGCTCTACTTGCTCTAGTTCATTTCTTTCTGCTTGTTTTGTAGATGTTTCGGCTGCTTTACCATGGATGCTATTGCCAGTGTGGCTTTTGGCACGCACGTCGACTCACAGAAAAACCCAAAAGATCCATTTGTCCGCAACGCTCAGATATTTACCAGCATGTCTCTTTTCAGGCCCATTATGCTGCTTAACAGTATGCTGTTTATACTTCTACTGGAGATGGAAAAATTATTATTATTGATTTGAGGATAAAAGAAAATTAATATTATGAACATTCACAAAATAATCTGTTTATCATGCAGTTAGTGTCAGACATTGTTTTTATCAAATACCAGAAGTAAAAAGAAAATAAACTTATATTTTGTCTTAAATACACATACATTGTCTAAGATTGCACACTTTGCTACTACAGTTATTTCATGTGTTTGTTTTTGCAGTGCTTTTCCCTGCTATCATGTATCCTCTGGCAAGCTTGATCCCAAACAAAAAGAGAAAGCTGACAGACAGTTTCTTCATCCGCAGTATTAAGGAGATGATCAAGCTGAGAGAGGAACAGTCCCCTGATCAGGTAGGTGACATATATATATATATATATATATATATATTTAAATTCTATATATTTAAATTCTATGTTCCATATG